GATACATCCACATCTTAAGTTACTTTTTAGGGTCTTAACTCCAATATTTACACGATAGGTTAATACAAAGCACCAGTAACACCAGCAGTCTAAACTAAATCCTCCACAGAGCTGTTATGAACTGTCGTCTGCAACATAAACCATCCTCTCCTGCACAATCTCCATCTACTGAGGTCCGTTCTGGTTCAGATGAAGCACTCTAAACTCACTTTCCTCCTCAGGTGAGCAGTGCCGCTCATGTGGAACCTCTCCACAGAGCAGATGGTGTGTTACGTGATCGAGCAGAAACCTAATAGCTGCGCTGTGTTTTCCTGGACGGACTCGACAGTCATCGCCGTGACTCGCTGGTTGTTCTTCAGGTGAGCCCAACAGCTCGGTGCCTCCCAAGTTCATCAGGTTTCCGCTCGATCGCATAACACAGCATTTGTTTGACGTGTTCCGGGGAATAGAGCGTTATTCACCGTGGCGCTGAGCACACAACATCCTCCATCTGCTGTTTGGTTTTATGGCCTTGGCTCCTATGGTAACTACCAGACTATCTCGCGCAGCACATGGCCGAGACGGGCACAGAAAGCTGAACACACTTACTGCCGACATCCAGCCTGGCGTTGCATGTGGACATCCCAGCTTCGTTGATGGCAGACAGAGTGTACCAGCCAGCATCGGACTTCATCACCCTCTCTAGCAACAAGCACTGCCGGCCGGAGCCGTCCTGGTACAGACTGTGGAGAGACAAGAGCTTCAAACTGTGGAATGCAAAACGCCTAAAAGTAAAAATAAAGAAATAAAATGAAAATAAAAAGAGAACTAATGTACAATTCTTTTGCATGGAAGTGCATTTTGTATAGCCTAGTATGCACATCATCCGACAGCACTAGTTGTAATCAGAGCTGCACAACAAAATAAGCCCCTTGATTCTCACACATATTTTTAATAATGTTAAAAATCGCTGTGCACGTTACTTTTTCTTTTAAACCCAAACTGGCCAATTTATTTTGTTTTCATGTGGCAAAAAACATAAATATCACTTTGCAATGTGGGGAAACATAACTAACCCTCTTATTACCTTCAAATTTCCTTTGGTTCAATTTGACCCCAGCAAATTTAAACCTCCAGAAAATATCATAATTAAAACTGCTACTCACGTTTATGTGTAAATAGCCCTTTAAATAAAACTGAAAAAAATATGTTTATGACTTATTTAGAGATGCTATAGGAGGGTTAAGAATGGGCAATACATAACTGGAAATGTACAAATCGTGCAGCAACAACGGCTCAACAAAGTAATATCAAATGTTTTGGCCCTTTACGTGCATCAGAATCTTCTACCAGCCCGTAGATAACTTTGTCATTTAGTTTTGAGCACATAGTGTACAGTTGTACTTTTAAGTTTTTGAAAACTGCCAAACAACATACAGATGTGGAGAGTACATTTCCATGGAGATGCTTATTAAAGGAGCTGCTACTTGTGTTTGCTACCAGAGAGGAAGCTCTTCAGCAGGCTGCCGGGATCCCATTAAAGGAATTACTGCTTCAAGTACACTTGAATATTATCCAGGAATAGGACAAGAGCTGCCTCTTACCTCATTCTGTTGGGGTCAATGCGCAGCATGTCTTTATCTTTCTTCCAGAAAAGCTGCGGAGGAGGAGAAGCATCCACTTTACACTCTAACCTAACGGTGTCGCCTTCTAGAGCTCTGGAGTTCAACATCTTCTGGACGAAGGTGGGAGGACGGAGAACTTCCTGAGCTGCAGACAGGAGGACAAGTGGGTTCAGTTCTGTCTCACTCTGGTGTAGATTTACTGAATCAATCCCCATCATCAGCTCACTCTACTGAGACAAACTTCTGCTTTACCTAATACATCGAGCCTCATGGTGAATCTGCTCTCCCCGGCTCGGTTTCTGGCCACACACTCGTACACGCCGGCGTGATGCACCGTGACGATCTCTATGATGAACGAGTGCATCCCTTTTTCACACACCAGCATCTTGTGGTAGTCGTCTGGACGGATGGCTTTACCGTCCAGGTACCAGCACACGTCTGGGGTCGGGAGGCCTCCAACCTGAAGTCATAACAAAGTTTTTTCACCCCTTTATTTAATTTTCACATCAACTGCCATCGTTGCATTGACTGTATATTTCTGAGGGAGCCCTGATCTTGCAGTTATAAAGACTTGAGTGTCAAATGTGAAGCCCGTAGCGAGATTAACCTTGAAGTCGATCCTGCAGAAGCGTCCCTCCTCCACTGTGAGGTCCGGGGGGATCTGCAGGAAGCGAGGAGCGTAACATTTCTCCTGGATAGCTGATCCCTCGTTGCCCCTCTCGTCTGTCCCTGAGTGGTGCCTCCCCCTGCAGAGAAACATTACTTATTTATAACCTCATTTTACCTCACTTTCACTGACTGAATACTCGTGAACAAACACAGGCAACCACATTAACGCCGATATCGGTTCTGTTTCTGTCCTCCATGGCATGGATACTGCACGGCAGGCTCTCCAATGATAGGCAGCTGGAGTTACAAGACACTCAGTAGACGTGGGAATATATTTATGGCCCCACACGATGTAGAGAAAGTTAATACAGGCTATTAATATGAATGGATGCTTTACTGGAAATGTTCAATGTATAAAATCTGCTCATTTCTACATCATATTAAATAGTTGTAATCAAGTAATTTAAAAATCAGTTTGGATATGAGTGATTCAGGTCAGTGTAAGTTTGTTTTTTTCATGATATCACACTTAAACATAAAAATGTTTTCTCCAAAATAGTAAACGACTATTTACTGCTTCTGTGATGTCACCTAATAAAGCAGTTATGTGCCCTCAAACGGACACAATCACAAAGCTTCAATTATTTCTGCCGTGGAGTGAAAAACAAAGCGATCATAATTATTTTTCATCCACAACACTGTTATGCTGAATCGTTCAAGGCTCTAATGATCACTGGAAGCCTGGGTTAATAATTACATGCGGTATTGATGTATAAATGGTGTTTACCAGAGTCCACCCGTGTGTCTTCCTTCTGGTGAGTCTGGCTGTAACAGAAAACAGATCAGCATGAAGAGGTGTAATCGCAGGTTTCAGATTTGAGAACTAATCATAGAGGTCGACCGGATGACAAAATGCCAGGAGGGTAACTCTGTGCGTGTGAGAGTGTATGTTCTGACACAATAGTCCTGTTGTCACCAGTGAAAGGGGCTCGTTCCCAGAAAAGCAGGCCAGAAATAGCCGCTGACAAACCTTGTTGGCTTGACAGGACGGGGTGTGTGTGTGTGTGTATGTGTGTGTGTGTGTGTGTGTGTGTGTGTGTGTGAACGTATGCGATGTTTCGTGTTGTGTGCGACAGAGAGAATAGATGGTGCAAAGCCCTGTGTGTGACAGAGGCTTTTTGACAGAACAATCCTGCACACACACACACACACACCCACACCCACACACACACCCACACACACACACACACACACACTCACACACACACACACAGAGCGAGCAGGTCAGAATGACAGCATGAGGCAGCTCACTGATGATTATGCTGCCCGGCTCTTTCAGCTTTGGGCCTGGGAGCCCATCAGGAGGCCCTGAGAGGGAAACCGGCTCCCCGTGCAGCCATTCAGACCCAAACGACTGCATGAATGTGTGGTCTTTTTGCTTAATAGCAAAATGAAAGCTAATGCGTTCTGGAGCAGAGCCAACATAAACGTCAGCTCTGCAGCACACATCGGTGCAACCTGAAGCACACTGTTGGGATCGAAGGACTTCTGTATTAAGGGCTATTCCATCGCAAATCATCGAGTCCTTCTGAGAGATCATCGCTGATTCGCTGGAAACTTTTTTTCTCATAACCTGTAAATATTCAAAATGTTATCTGTAAAATTTTAACTGTTAAATAATTTCCAAAAAACATTTTTTAAGATAAAAACGTCCTTTGGCCACATTTCAAGCAATGAAATTTGAGATTTTTCTTAGTTATATTTAAAGAACCACCCTGAAACTCCACAACTCTTTGTTTTAACATCCATCCATCCATCCATTATCTATACACCGCTTAATCCTCACTGGGGTCGTGGGGGGCTGGAGTCTATCCCAGCTGACTCAGGGTGAAGGCAGGTTCACCTGGACAGGTAACCAGTCTATCACAGGGCTACACTTAGAGACAGACAACCAAGCACACTCACATTCACACCTACAGACAATTTAGAATCACCAATTAACCTCAACATGTTTTTGGACTGTGTGGGAGGAAGCCGGAGAACCCAGAGAGAACCCACGCTGCACGGGGAGAACATGGAGACTCCACACAGAAAGATCCCGGGTGTCCTCACCGGGACACAAACCAGCGACCTTCTAGCTGCGAGGCAACAATGCTAACCACCAAGACACCTTGCAGCCCTTTCATATTTAAATATTTTAAATATTCTCACAGATAATCACATATTATTTGATCTACTTTATAAATATTGCTGATAATGAATCAGAGACATGATGCGAAATGATGAGAACATTTCAGGCTTTTATGTTCCTAACAGTCCTTGAAATATTGTCATTGAAACTTAGCTCTATGATGAAACACTTCCAGGGAAATTAGAGACGGTCGAGCAGAAATTGCTCTAAAAAACTGATGACTTGAGATGGAATGACCCGTAAATGAGGCTCACTAACAAAATAAATGCTGTACCTGGTCCAGTTGTGAGTCTGAAAGATTATCTTGGTCAAACATGTAGGTAGCGTTGTCTGGACCCAACAGCCTGCGAGCCATACGCTCCTCATAGGATAGTTTCTGTCAAAACGAAGCTGCATGTTGTTAAATAGTCATTTTTCCACACACACACATATAAAGTGTGTTACTGAGTATGCTACAGAATTCTACTCTGCTCTGTACAAGAAGGCACACGCTGTCAGTGGGCTGCAGGCTGTGTGTTGTTGGGGGAATGTTGTGTGAATGATGTGTAGGGCTCTTTTTCACCTCTCCCTTTGCAGGACACACAAACAAACACACCTGGTTGGTTCTCCTCCTCGCCTCCTTTGAGCGAAGCTTCTTTTCCAGATCCTGAATGAGGGCGTCTTTGGAGCCCTGGATGTCTTCATCTGTGGAGCGAGCGGAGGAAGGCCGAGGAGCTACAGACTTCTTCAAGATGGGTTTGGGAAGGCTGGGGAAAAAGTAAAAGAAGAAAAGGTAAATAACAAACCTTTATTCACTAGTTGTGGAAATGTAGTCTGATCTACAGCGCTGACAGAAATTAGTAGGACTCTGTCAAGTTTTCCACATTTTGTTGCTTCAGACTCTTCATCTGCACAAGCTGCTCCACAATGACAACAATAAAAGACTGAAACATCCCATTTACAGAAGTATTGAAGCCCTTTACTTGGTTCAAGGAAGCAATGATGGCCTCAAGTATTCCTAGGAATGATCCCACAAGCCTGTCAAACCTTTCTTTTGGAAGTTTCTCCCAATCTGTTTAATGGAATCCTTTAAATTGGCCAAATGGGGAGCATTGGTGTAAATTCATTTTCAGGTCTCTCTAAAGCTGCTTTATTGGATTCAGATCTGGACTCGGCTGAGTTTTTCTATGTTGTCTTGGCCGTAGACTTTGGGTCATTGTGTTACTGAATTGTAAACCTGGCTGAAGTCCTGAGCACTCTGGGCAAGACTTTTGTGATGATTGCTCTATATTTTTTCTGCATCCCTCTCTGCTAACTCTCATCTCCGTCCCTGAAGCTGCCACCAGTGTCTGACAGTAGGGACGGTACTATGCTGTTTGGAATTGTGGCCAAACAGTTTAATTTTTCTTCCCTCGGTCCAGAGGATTTGGCTTTTCATGGTCTGAGCATCATTTATGTGTCTCTTAATGAGGAACGTCTTATGTGTGGCCTGTCGGTGAAGTGCTGCACTGACGGGCTCAACGCTCTGTACAAAGAATTCAAACAGACCACCGAGTTCCTGGTTATCTGTCTGAACAAGGCCCTTCAGACTCCTCCAATCAATTTGTAGAAGCATCTCAAGGACCTCTGACAGAAATAGGATGCACCAGAGCTCAGCTGCGAGTGTCATAACAAAACACTCCAACTGCTTTGTCACTGTGGAGCAGTGGGTGAAGAATGACAACAAACTATTTAATCTGTTCTGAGACGAATCTGAAACACAACAGTGTGAACACTTTCAAAAGGTCTGAAATCCGTCCGTATGCAGAGTGCTTTCTATTCAGATTTCTTACTTAATTAGTGAAGAAATATATACGCAGGTTAATAGTGTTCAATGTTGTTTTCACTTTCATACATTTGCTAAATAGTTAAACTTGTACAGTATCGTGCCATCATTCCTGCTGAGGCTGTCATTTTTTCTGGTTAGTTGGAGGATGTACATTTGAAAGTAGTAATTTACCAACAGCTGGCTCCACAATTATTATGTTTAACCTTAAATGTTGCTGTGTAAGAGGAGGCAGGTCTCAGGTTCCCTTTCTGGGTGTTAGAATTTCAGAAACAAACAAAAATTCTGTGACTTTTTGGCAGAACTGGGCTGAACTGCAGGCAGAGAGGGAAGAAGACAAGTAGTTAAAAAAAAATGTATGTAGGTAAAATATCTATAGCATGTCGAATCACAATTTTGTCTCAGTGTGGGAGGGAACCTGATTCCAGGATTTTTACATTTTTGCCAAAATAATGAATCAAAGAATTTTAAAAAATGATTTATAACTATGTTTTAGTGCACAAAGGAGATTTGCTGTTGCCTCAGAACTGCAGGACTTTAAATTGTCGTGTAAAATGAGCCAACAGGAAGTAAAAATTAAATAGGACTCAGAAGTTGCTTTGAGTTTAGAAGGTTAACCTTAAGTTGAACTGACAGTGTTTGTATCCAGGCACACACTATGTACAAGCATTCATATTATCACGTTAAATCTGTGGGGAGGACTGGGATTCAGACTGTTCAGGATTTCAACCCAGATGGTCATCATATGATGTTTTTTAGTCCGATTTTCCACCTCTTAGGTTCTTCAAAGCATCTATTCTCTCAGTTTAACTCAGATGACAGTTTATCAGGTGCAATCAGGTAAAACCAATGCAGCCTCATACAACAGTTTGGGGGAAAACACACACCTCAGTGCCCAGGTTTTGTTCAAACAGTCTTAGAGAACAGTTGATTCAGCTTTATGGTCAATTACAGTTTGTGGTGCTGTTGAACTGTGCAGCAACATGCACAGAGAAGTTTCTCTCATTCGGCCTACCCTCATAAATGGGATGAACAGAATAACAGAAATCAGCCTGCACTTATCTGAAACGTGCAAATAAAATGAAAGTATACTTCAACTCACATGCTTGGCGTTCCCTTATAGCTGGCGGGCAGCGAGACCACAGCAGGCGGTACCCTGTTCTGACTGTTGGGAGTGTTGGGCTGTGGGAGAGAGGAGGAGGAGGAGGAGGAGGGAGGAGAGAGAGGGGAGCGAGGGAGGGAAGGGGACACCGGGAGAGGTTGCTGAGGGAGGGAGGATGGAGAGGAGGAGGCCCTCATGGGGAGGAGAGGGCTGGAGGGAGCAAGTGGGGAGCGGGATGGAGAGGGGAAGCCGGAGCTGGGAGACAGTTTGGAGGAGAGAGGGGAGAAGGGGGACTGGGAGGGCAGCACCGAGCAGAGGTAGGCAGCTGAGGCTGACAGGGAGTCCTGGTTAGCCGGCAAGGTGGCGCTGCCCAGACCGGTGGCACTGGGGACGCTGGGGGTGAGGGTGATGGTGGAGCGCATGGTGGTGCGAGGGAGGGTGGATGAGGGGGAGGGGGAGGGGAAAGGTGAGGACGAGGTGGTGGCAGAGGGGCTGAGTAAAGGGGTGATGGTGGGAAAAGGAGGTGCGATGGAGGAAGCCGGGGTGGTGATAGGAGAGCTGAGGCTGGAGGAGGACGGGGAGGACTTCCCTGTTCCGTTGGCCTGAGTCTGGATCTGTGTCTGGGCCACTGACTGGTTCTGAGTCTGACTGAGGCTCAGCGACTGAAGCTGTGTCTGGGCCACTGACTGGTTCTGAGTCTGACTGAGGCTCAGCGACTGAAGCTGTGACTGAGTCTGAGACACAGACTTTGACACTGACTGAGTCTGAGAGAACGACTGACTATGTGTCGACACAGACTTGGTCTGACTCTGCGTCTCCACAACATTTTGACTCGTCTGGGCACTGCTGAGGGTTTGCTGGGAGTTGTTCTGGTTCTCCTGGGCCTCCTTCAGCACGCTCTCGTAGCTGGGTGCTTGGAAGGCCGGCTGCGACTGAATGAAGTGCCTCGGACGCTCATAGTTGAAGGCACTGGGAGGGAAGGCACTGGGGGTGAAGGTAGGCAGGTCCGACAGGTTCATGTTGTTGTTGCCTCCTGACTGGGAGGACTGGAGGAGAGAAGACACTGACATTTACAAAAACTGAAAAAGATGGAGTTATGCCATTTCTGATGTAATGAAAAAGAGGCTTTGATAAACTTCCACACATTTCCATTTGCTGGGCTGAAGCTAATTAACATGAACATGAAAAACCAAACGTCACTTAAACATAAAAATCTAATGGTTTTACCCTTGGTGAGCAAACGCTTACATACGCTTGGAAACTCAACACTGCCATAACATATATTATAGTCCTATAACTCAGAAGTTTCTAAGATGGAATCACTGAAACACATCTTTCTCTGTCACAAAAACAATCATATGTTTCTTTCATAGATTTATTAAAGCTCTTCTGGAAAAATGCCAAAATGTGCTGGGTCAAACATATACGTACAGTAATGCCATTATTTGGTTAAATGTTCCTCAGCCATTTTCACCTCAACTAGGCCCTTCTGGTACCTGTCGACAAGCTTCTGGCAAAGTTCTGGTTGTATCTTTGACCACGCCTCTGCACAACCAAATTTGTTGGCTTTCTGACACAGACTTGTTTCTTCAACTCAGCCCACAGATTCCTGTTGGGGTTTCAGTCAGGATGCTGGTGAAGAAAGTCTAAAACCTCAATTCTAGCCTGATTTAAACATCTCTTTAACACTTTTGATGTCACTGCCTTGTTGGAACACCTAACTGCAACCAAGACCCGACTTTCCAGCTGATGATTTTAGGTCTTCCTTAAGAACGTGGAGATAATCTTCCTTCTTAATTATTTCATTTACTTTGTGTAAAGCTCCAGTTCTACTGGCAGCAAAACAACCCCAGAGCATTATACTGCCACCACCATGCTCGACAGTAGGTTTGGTGTTCTTGTGGTTAAAAGGTCTAAACTTCTCACGACCAAACATATTTTTGGCCAAATAGCTCAATTTAGTTTCATCTGACCACAGAAATTTTTTCCAGACTTAAAAACAGTTTGCACAGGTGATTTTGGGATCTGCAGTTGCTTGAAGTGACTTTTCTGACCCGTTCAAGTCAATGATTTGTTTTTTTCAAATCTGTGCTGAGTTACTTTCCCGTTGTAGCATTTGTGGCTGATGAGTGTATCAAATGAGTCTGTTGAACATTTAAATCGTCTCAGAGAAATCCGCAGCTGGAGTCATTTGTATACACTCCTGAAAGGCCATGTCACTAAGAAAAACTGATCAACACAGCTTTCTATATCACTCAAACTGATAATTCAAGGCGTTGCATGTATATTTTTGAACCAGCAGATTTTCTAACATTTCCAGGAGACCTATAACAAATGCATGAAAGAACCAAAAGACAAGATTGTTTTTTGTGATGCATATGTTTCAATGACTCCATCACAGAAAACAAGGAGTCACAGAGGTCACTGGAAACTCTGGTCTGCAATATTAAACATGGTCTTTATACGTATGTAAGTTTTTGCTCACAACTGTAAGTAGAGCAGAATAATAGCTACAGATACTGTCTATTGCAGACAGACAGCAACAACTGCAGCAAAAAAAAACAACCTCCCACAGAGGCCTAAAGTGATGAGGAATGCTCTTACTGTGAAAGTGAGCTTGCTTGGAGTAAACAGCTTGGTTGTCGGGGCTTTCTCCTCCTTGACTTGTTCTGGTGGTGGTGGTGAGGGTGGAGGCGGAGGGCTGGGTGTACAGGCTTGGATAGTGACCTCCGGTGACCTTTGTCCCTCTGAGCTGAAGGCACTCTCCTCCTCGCTGCGACCGAACGGCTCTTCAGAGGAGTAGTTGACCAGCTGAGGCTCCGGGAAACTGACGGGTAAACACAGACGTGAGTTAAAATACATTCACAAAAACTATTTTGTGAGGAGAAGAGAGCAGATTTAAGATAACTGATGAATGAATTATAGAAACTGTTAAACTGAAGTTCATCCGCATAGTTCCTGAAGCTAAAGAGATCATATCTGTGACAAACCCCTGATCTGACAGGAGGTCAAACAGAGTGTCAGCTCTGCCTGCAAGTAATTCCACGATGTAAAGCGCCTCAGATACACATTAAATATAGATGTTTGTATAGATTCTCAGCCATCCAGGTCATGGTAATGGTAGGAGCTTCAGCAGAAGGCAAATGGACTTCAACATGTTTCACCTCTTATCCAAGAGAAGCCTCTTGGGTGAGAAGTGAAACATCTGCAAGAACCAAAACAAGGAGTCCAGTTGTCTTCTACTGAACATATTCAAAGTCTGTTACATATGCTTAATTACATTATAGTCCTTGACTAAAATCAATCACTTCAACGCATTTATTCAGGCATTCATCAAACACTGGGGTCCAAAAACTATTTATGTGATACTGTATAAAAAACACCAAAAATCCATCCTAGAGTTAACATTTTGTCCAGTTTGTTCACATAAAACAGAACATTTCCTGACTCAAAAAGAGCCTTTAGGGCATAATTAAGCAGGAAACTAAGCATGATCAATCCACATACAGTAAGAGAATAACTGTGTCTCCGTTGCCTTATTTTAAATCAATGCATTTTCCTCTCACTACTGGCCATGTGAAAACCACAAATGATCACATTGTCAACTGTTCTCAAGTAAATGATCCCCTAATAATTAACAATAGGTAAAAACATGTTAGTTTTTGTCTTATTCTGAACTCCTATTCGACTCCAAAAAACCCTTTGAGTTTGTTGGGATTTCGGTACACATTTTGTAACGTCTTCATCTTACTATGCGAAGAGCCTTGAGATGATACACGTTGTGAATTTTAGTGCTAGTGATTTTTCTTTAGTGTCAACAATCGCAGAGTGGGTTCTGAGCAACAGGTCAAAACAATTAAACTGTACAAGGTTGGTGCTCAATCTCAGCAATAATCTAATAACCTCAGTGCTGTGACACCAATCTGAGACAGAAACTCTTGGCAGAAACAATCACTGTGACTGTAGGAATACAAACATCGAGTTGGGAAACAGATGAGAACTAAAGCATGACTGGTGGGAGTTTGGCTCAATAAATCTAATTTAGACAAATATTTTAGGACCTTAAGTTGCACTGAAGACGACGGGTGTTGATGGCTCCTTAAGAATATCAGTATCTGGAACTCCCAACTAGTCAGTCAGAACTGATGAAGCCTCTCGGATGAGAGATCTTCAAGAACCTTAAGCAGGTCCAGTTGCTACGATTAAACTATGAGAACAACCAAGACCTGGACGACTGAGAACCTTCACAGACATGCTACTGAAGACGATTAAGAAACGGCTGCACAAGCATTATACGAAATGCTCACTAAATCTCGCTGTATCTATCTCAACAGCTGATGTCTATCATGCTGGTCCCCTCACCAGGAGACTCTGAGCACCATCAGTGGCTCAGCTCTTCACTGTTCAGATCCACATGACGGCTGGTGAGAAAAAGTCTTCATAGCGGTTTGTTTCCCCCTGACTGTCATCGCAGCAGTGGAGCTGTCTGATGGGAGTAACAGATATCATCTCAGCCCACTCACTGGTTCTCTTCCTGTAATACCCGGCCTGGCTGCTCCTTTACTTTTCTACAAGGAAGGAATGCTGTTCCCATGACTACCACGTAGTCTGGCCTGGGCAGCAGCGTGATGACAATAGCAGTCTCTCTCTGCGCTCTCGCACAAACACCGTTTCTCTGCATTTCTGGTCTCCTGAGGGCACAAGACAGTTCTGGCTGGGACAGCATCAGCTGACAAACAGTCTGAAAGAGCGTGAAACTCCAACCTTGGATCTGGATCAAAATGCACCGATGGACAAACACAATGTTTTTATGATTATGTTTAACGATGTGTGCACTCGCATGTGGCCTTTCTGGATTCAAATCTAATTAAACTCCATTTGTACAGTGCCAGTTCACAGCGTAAGTGACCTCAGGCACTTCACATACTAAGGTCAAGACCTTTCAGTGCTACATTACAGGGAGAAACCCAAATGTTCCCTTTCAGGACGCCTTAAGAGCTTCTAAAGATGGATTTAGATCTGGTACTTCATACTTAACAAACAACAAGCAGCGTATTTTATGAGTGAGCACAACGCGGTACTGTCTACATTATTAGCTCTTCTTTACCCAAGGCCTGATGTTCCACCACATCTCTCTGAGGTTTGTACATTATTGATGATTAAATATTCCAGTAAATAACCTCCTAGCAGGATGGTGCAACCTACAAAGGATTTTAAAGGCAACAACAAACTACAAATAAATCAAATTAATTAGAGTTCACTTCGTTTCTGATCAAAATTCCCTCAAAATGATTATTAAAGACGTTACCAAGAAAAGATTTGACGGGGATTTTTAACAGTTGAAAAGTAAACTTAAAATCATTTTGGGTGAAATGATTTTGTACTTGCTGTACTTATTCAGCACTACGTGAAACACATTTCTCATTACTGTACCCTTGATAAGCCGCTAGTGGCACATATTAACCTGGAAGACGTGTAGTTCAGGCTTTCAGGTGAACACTTTTACCGAAAATACTTGTTAAGACAATCTTGTCGTCTTTACAGAGAATGGTACAAATACTGAAAGCTTTTAAAAAAAATATTATGTCACCAAATCAGGCCAAAAAGTGGTTTATTTAGTAGGTACAAGTCACATTTTGTCATGCATATTGTAGGAAGACGCTTATTAAAGCAACTTTGGTGACATTTTACATGTGCATTATTTAACAGCTGTCTTTTGTCAGAGCAGAGGGCGTTACTAATAACATTACCATTGTCTCTGATTGATTTAATGGTCCCAGTAAACCATTACAGTAAGCTAGCATGCACACTGCTGGGATGCTGTACATGTCACAACTGAAGGTAACGCAGTAGAAGTCAACCTGTGTGTTTTCTTGCAGGGACGACGTGTTTATGATTAGCAATCAAGAATATTGCTATTTAATATTTAGAACTAGGGCTGAACAATATGCAAAATAATTCACAAGGCAGCTATCTAGATTGATAACATGATTGTCACAAGTCATGATTTTAGTGGTAATAACAATTTTGCATTTCTTTTCCATTGGAAAAAACAACAAAAAAGGAAATAATGACTTTTTTATTTGGCTAAAAAGCAAATTCTGGGCATCTTTATAGCATCACAATGCTCCATTTATAATGCTATGTTGCAGGACATTTAGCCTTTATCAAGACAAACAAAAAAAAATGCAGCTAATGCAACGGAGGAGTCGCATGAGGTCATTTAGCAGTTCTTATAATATTATATCATCAATTGTTTAGCCGAATTTGGAACTGATATAATTTGCAGGATAAATTAAAACCTTGGTGGCAATATTCAGAATAACACAAAGTCCAAAATAAAGTAAAATATATTAAAAGGCCTTTGTTTTTAAATGTTTTACATATCTTTAATTCAAAGACAACTTATATTACATATATTACGTACTGTGGGCTGGACATTGCTTGAGACTACAAATAGAAAGAGGCGGCTGCAGCAGAGAAAAGTTTAAAAAAAAAAACAGCAACATCTATAATCAGAAAAATGCTGCATATTGTATCTGATAATCAGTCAGGCTGGTAACTGATTGATCCCTCTAATGCAGCACCTTTGTAAGGTATTTATTACGCCTGTCTGACGAGTCAATATGAGTGAATCTATGCAAACACAAACCAAGGTGGTGAACCGAAAAGCTCAAAGACATGTCGGCAGTTTATCAGCTCATCTAGATCTAAACTTGTCTGTGATTCTTTTTAAAGGTCGGCGGCGCCTCGGTTAATTCTCACTGTGCAGGATGTGAGGATGTGTGTATAAGTCTACTGAGTTAGTGAGAGTGTGTTGTAGTTTCTGTGCTTTTAATGCTGCTGCGTGAAAGCAATGTGTGTGTGTGTGTGTGTGTGTGTGTGTGTGTGTGTGTGTGTGACTTAATCCTGTGATAGCATGTGTGTGCGAGTTAGTGTGTGTATCTGTGTGTTTGTGTGATTAAGTGGGCAAAGCTATATTGGTCTTGGTATTCGGACATCGGCTGGCAGGTGCAGATGCTGTACTGGTGACCCAACCCTTTTAACACACACACATGCACACACACACACACAACCTGCATGGCATTGTGGGTAGGCGCATGCCAGGCTCTCCTAAGTCCTCTGTATGACCGACGACAACACGGAGGGACAACAATATGGGTGTTTAGCAAAATTTTGCAGACTTTTGCAAAATAAAAGTCGACCGGACTAACGTGTACGTCCTAAACACTGGGTGGAGATAAAAACATCACTTTCATCCAGAGAGGGATTGTGGATGAGCGTCATTTACTTCATTAATTCACTCATTTGTCGATTTATTTGACAAGCAACCAAGGCAGGATCCATTCTAGCAAAAGCTGGATACACTAAACGTCTAACTACTGTTTTCTAACATCTTCATAACACTACTAATCAACCAAACAAGGTTACACAACCCCACTACAATAATTTACTTTCAAGTCAGGATAAAAGTCGTGCAGCTTATTGCATTTTGATGACAGACCAGGAGAAGGAACTTCAGCCAGAAAAGGAAAGCGTTCATCATCTCAAATAAGATGAAAAGTGAGGAAAGCAAAAATTTACTTTAATACATACCAACTTGCCATGCAAAAAGACACAACACCCATTTATTTGGCATCTGAAAGTACTCTTTAGCCAACCATAATAAGCAGATTGTGTCACTATTTATGTTCTTTTTTATTATTATTATTATTATGGGGAAAAAGCACAAACCACCAGATGCATCACAAGCTACAGATAATCCACTTCCTCCTCCTCCTCGTTAAATGATCAAATCAATAACAAAAAATCAGATAAACTTGAAGTTGCCCGGAGAACCTCAACGTGACCTTAGACGCCAGACTGCTGCCAGCTCCGTCTGAACAAATGTTGTTGTGTGCAGCAGCAGCAGCAGCGCTGAGGAAAAGAGGGGGGTTTCTGAAGGACACAGACGCCATGTCTGCTCTTCACATTACAGATGAGATCATCGCCCCGGACGCTGGAGTGGACACACTGATCCCAGCCAAGCATACTTCACACCATTAAACACCCACTGGATGCGAATGTGAGCCCAAGTCAAAGCTGAGGACGCACTTGGTGAAAACAAAAAAAACAAACTCAAGAGATGAAATATCACTGAGCAGCACCAGTGACAGGATGCTCAACTGTGGTACTTCTGACATTTATGTTATTTGTGGTTCCATATTCAAAATTGTAGTCATTTTCTGCTCCAACTGAATGCATGTGAATGGAAGCATTTCTGCACATACTTTAAAAATGAATAAATCAACAATAAAAATACCACAAAGGGACCCCTCTCTATTGGTTATCTAACATTTACAGACACTTTTCCTTACATTTGAGTCATTCTGTGGCTGCTGGTGAAGCCTGAAGGGCAGATCTCATAGTGCCACTTTACACATGAGCTCATGACTGTTTCTAAGGTACCACTTGGCTAAACTATGGATTGTGTTACATGAAGCTAACACAACAGTAAAGACGTATATTTATGGTGTTTCCAAAAGTAGAGCTCCAGAGGATCCCAGAGAAGCGAGAAATATGCTCATATCACATTTCACTTCATTCCCACGTGTGTTTGAGGGGATGTTTTAGAAACTAGCCTCCTGAGTTAGCCAAAGTTACGTGAAAACCTGGGCTAACGGTTAATTAAAAGTCAGAGCTAGCTTAATTATCTCCAGGCTACTCCCCCCTCCTGTAGCGGCTCTGAAGCGGCACCGACCGTGACACAAACCCCTAAAATAGACCAAAGTTCACTTTCCAAGCGGCTCTAAACATAGTTTGGCCTTTAAAGGAGAGCTCGACGTGTTGAGTTACCGCGATATAAACAAAGAAGGAAAATTAGCAAGTTTGTAAATTAGCTTAAAATGCGGGAAAAAAAAAGTTTGAGTCCAAAAAAGCGACAGTTTCAGGTTGGAGGGATGAAACCGCCTCCCCTGTAGCGCGGACACAGACGGGATGTGGTCTTACCTCGGTACACGGCTCTACGGCACCGTCCTCAGAGCCCGGTAACGGCTGAATGGAAGCGGACTTTCTCAGCGGGAGCTCCGGTCCGAACTCCGCCGAGGAGCTGCGCTGCAACAGGTGACACCGCGCGTTCACGGCGGCCCAGTATGCGGGGCGACGTGAACGCGCAGGTCCAGCAGCGGCTCAGCATCGTCACCATGACGACACGCCGAGGTCCTCTCCTCGCTCCCGGCATTGTTTTGTTCAATCACTTTAATTAATGTTGAAAATCACTCTTTAAAAAGCAGCATTTGTTTCCTGATTAATCATCAATACAGCTGATAACTGATAAACTTCATTCACTTCTTTATTAAATAGAAAATTGACCTGATCTGCACGTTTAGAATAATACAACAGCGACCTCATCTGGACAAAAAGAGGAACTGCAGCAGTTTTCTTAAAGGAAATAAGATTCAGTCGTCCTCAAATGTATTCATACCCTCCCATTAAAGAAGGAAAAAAGTCACGGAAATAAGCTGACATTGACAAAAAAAATTAATAATAAATAAAAAATTAATGAAAATCATGACGTTGCTTTTGAGTTGTGGTTCAACAGAAATATTAAGAAAACAAAAAAATAAGCAAACAAGCATGATGGGACCCGTAAACTGATATTTTGTTAAACAACTCTTTGAGGCAATCAATGCAATCAAGTGTTTTCTGTAACTCTCAATCAGACTTCTGCACCTGTTGACAGGTAGTTTGATTTTGGCCCACTGCTCATCAGCAAAGTGCTCTAATTTGTTTAGTTTTTATTTTTTTAAATTATTCTTTTCAACCACAATTCAAAATTAATGTCTTATTTCACTGAATTATAATTTAGCAAATTTTTATTTATTATTACTTTTTTCAATTTCTAGTTATTTAAGTGACTATTGTGAATTTTGCCTTTTCTTTAATGGAAGGGTATGAATACGTTTGGGGATGACTGCAAGCCTTTATTAATCCCACAGTGGGGGAATTTGCGATGTTACAGCAGCAAAGATCGTACAAACATTTAAGCAATGAAAAATAGATATTACACAGAGTTTTTAACCTGAAAAACATTCATAAATCACATGATATTGTACCAAAGAGATGTATGAGTTTTGTGTGCGGTCTACTGGGAGCAGTGCTGGTTGTACAGTCTAACAGCAGCAGCAAGGAAGGACCTGCGGCATCGCTCTGTCACATATACCACGTCACAAATACCCACTAGATAAACGAGTGCTTGATTCGTTAGTAATGCCTATATAAGCAACCACCCTTTTTGGAAGTTTTTCCCATATTTCTGCTTTTCAGCTTTGAATTACTTTCAGTTTAATTTCACTTTTTTGACAAGAATTTACAAAAAAGACATTTTTTTTTAAAGTAATGTCAACTAAAAACATTAAACAAGTACTTGCGTAAGTATTCGCCCCCTTAAAGTGACTAATTCAACACAGGTGCAGCCAAATTGGAGCTAGACGCAAATGGTAGATTTTAAATAGTCTTCACTTTTAACCTTAGCGAGGTTTTGCAAAGTGCTTCACAGTGTGTTTCTCATTTTACCCAATCACCCACACACTCATTCACAAATGACTGCAGCATTGCCATGAAGGGGGTGGGGGGGCTCAAGGCACAAAATTAGTAAAACGAAGATAGTCTGAGTGCAGTGAATGCGCCTCATGTGACTGCTGTATGAAGACGCCTGTATGTGGAAGGTCCAGTCACTGGTGAATAAGTTCTCCTGGCTATAAATGCACCATGACGACAAAATAACACTCTGTGATAAGGTTATTACAAAGCATGAGAAACTTTCCAAGTCACTGAATGACCCTCAGAGTACCAGAAATAGAAGGTATACGGCACATAAGCTGCCTAGAGCTGGTCATCATCAAAAACTGAGTGAGAACAGTGAGGGAGGCCACCAAGAC